AGAGATGCCATTAATACAGATTCCTCCTCTGGCCTCTTTGAGACATTTGCTTTTGAAGGACCTGGAAGAGAAAGCTCTTTGTATGTGGCCAGAATAAACTCATTGTACACCCAAACAATTAACTCCTCAATGGACTTGCCAGCCCCTTGAAAGGCCTGGCCCTGCGTCCCTGGACCTCTTGGGCTCTATTCAGTCCCTTAAGCACACCAATGTTTTTGGGTTTTTGTTTTGTTTTGTTTGTTATTCTGAAAAGTCTTTCCCTGAGAATAGTCCGAGCGGATCAACATTGTCCTCAGCCCGGCATTTATCTCTCCTCACCAGCGAATGTCAATCAGGAATCAAAAAGCCAAACAGAGGAGGCTTTGAACGGTGTCATCGGGGGTCGAAGTGACTTCCAGCTGTCTGTGCGTGGGCCAGGCCTTCTCGCAGGGCAAGGAATTGTGCTGTCACACAAACCCACTGTCTGTATAGGCTCACAGAGCCCATGCGGGGGCTGCAACTTTCTGGGCCTGCACCTGCAAGGACAAGGCATGACTGGGGGTTGGGGAGTCTCCGGAGGCCAAATGCCAGGGCTCTGGGACCAGGCAGTTTCCAAAGCTGCTTGCTGCCTCTGGGACCTTGATCAAATCACTTACTTGCATTGTTACTCCATTCTCTTTTTATCTGCCTGGCTTCTCCCTCTGCCCTGGCTAGTGGTGAGAATAGATGAGGAAAGCTACCTGCCAGGAACTGAGTGTTGCAAAATGTGGTAGTACTATTATTACTGTTGCTCTTGACATCCTCCGTGAGAATGCTTTCAGTTTGCCTTATTTATTTGTTTGTTTTCATGTTTCCAAATTTGCCTTTTTTCTCCCTCCCTGTAAGAAAAAGGATAATCTTTGAATTGGCTTTTTTTTTTAAGTGTTTATCCTCTTCTAAATCTGAAAGATTATTATAGTATTAAAGAGAAATACTCTCTGAGGTCCAAAAGAATCGCGAAGAATATGCACCAAACATCATCACATACATATACAGATTCAGATACATTTTTCTTTAAAACGGATGGAAGAGTCTTCCCCCAAATTAAGGACCACTCAATCTAGCTGCTGCTGCTGCCTGATGATTTATTTGTGATGACTTGGGCACACCTCCCTTTTTGTTTTAATAGCTTTATTGAAGTATAGTTTACATACCATAAAATTCACTCATTGTAAATGTACAACCCAATGAGTTTAATAAATTCATGGTGGTGTACAACTGTCACCAGAGAACATCTCCTTCACCCCCAAAAGCGACCTTGAACCCATTCACAGGTATTTTCTACTCCTACTTGTAGCTCTAGGCACCCCCGGATCTGTTTTCTGTGTCTATAGATTTAGCCTTACTAGATATTTCATATAAATGGAATCGTGTGGTATTTACATCTGGAGTTTTACACTTAGCATAATGTCTTTGAGATTCTTCATGTATATTGTCACATGTATTAGTTATTCGTTCCTTTTTGATGGCTGAATAGTATTCTACCATATGGATATATCACAATTTATCTATTCACCAGTTGACAGACATTTGGATTGTTTTCATTTTGAAGCTTTAATGAATAATGCTGCAGTGACTATTTCTATACATGTCTTTGTGTGGACATGTTTTTATTCTCCCAGATGGGTTCTGGGAGTAGAATTTTGGGGTTAAAAAGTTTATGTTTAGCTTTTTAAAGAGACTGTCAAACTCCTTTCCAAAGTAGATACCCAGTTGTACATTTTCACCAGCAATGAACAGGGGTTCCATTTCTTCCACATCCTTACCAACACTTAATATTGTCTATCTTTTTATTTTAGCCATTCTAGTGGCTGTTTAGAAGTATCTTGTTGTGGTTTTAATTTGTACCTTCCTAATGATTAATGATATTGGGTATCTTTTCATGCATTTATTAGCCATCTGTATCTCTTCTTTGGTGAAATGTCTGTTAAAATATATTGTCCATATTTAAATAAGGTTGCTTGTTATTGAGTTGTAAGGTTTACCTTATTTTCAATTTAAAAACTTTGATAGGATTTTAATTTTGTAAACCCAATTTTAAAAGTAAGCCGTTGAATAAGATGGTTTGCACTCATGGAATTATAGATACCCTTTAATAGGCCTTTAAAGTGTTTCATACCTACACAAAAAAGGGTCCCTTTTGTGGGCAAGTATCCTTCAGTTTCAGAAGAGGATATTGCTATCCAGAGAAGTAGAAGGAGGGGCTCAACTTATCCAGAGTGTTAGATGTATTCGATGTAAACTGTTAAATGTAAAGGGGGAATTGGAGTGTGACTCCCCTTGAGACTGGGAGGCAGGAGCACACATAGAAACTTTGCTCTCTCCCCAGGACCCAGTGTGAGGCCTGGTGTTGCTCCAGGGCTTGCCTGGAAACAGAACTGATGTAGACCTTGGATCTAGGCCTTGGACTTGTGTTTGGTAGGAGAGGTGCTCTTATTTGCTGGGTCAGAAGCCAGGAGCCCAGGTGCCCGGAGATGATGGTTAGAGGGTGCTGTTCGCTTTGGCTTGGCTTCCCAGCCTTTGAGAATGCTGGATTTCACAGGTGGTTCCTGGCAGCAGGGCACCTTGTCTTTTCTCACTTCATAAAGATTTCCACTTAGGACCTCCCTGTGGCAGACCAGCTGTATCTCTTCACCCTCAGTGACCCTACCCTGCAGGAAGATTCCTTCCCTGCACGTGGCTTTATGCTTCATGGGCTTCTCTGACTGCATCTGGGAAATCTGTGGAACTCCTTGACCTGCAAAAGGGCAAAGCTTCCCCAGAAAACTTTCTTTGCCCTCCTTGAGTGCAGACCACCTTTGCCGATGGCTGGGCCAGATGGGCAGTCCAAGATTTTCATCTGGATGATGGGAGAAATAAACAGAATGTTTTCAGTTATCTTGCTCCAGAGAAGAGATACAGCTCTTGTGATATGGGAGGATTTTAATACCTACATTGAGTATTAAAATATTACATAAGCCATATGCACTTGAGTTCTCACTATCATCCCTCTTGGAATGTTTGATTTTTCACTTTCCCTTTGTTAGCCTGTAAGACTCCTAAAATGAAGCCACCCTGTGTGGAACGGCTGAGCACACTGTGCTGGACTATTTAGACTATGAACTCTGTATCCGGCAGGCACAACCAAATGTGCATTGCAGCTGCCAAAAGACTCAATTCAGTGGCTCATTGAATTCAATGGAAAGAGGTGTTAATAGAGTCAGGGGAAGTGATGCTGTTAAAAAAATGACATTGTGTGGCTCTGTTCTGTGTTTATTCTCCCTCAATGACTTCCAGATCAAACTCACACAGTTTGGCATCAAAAGATGCCTGTTTTGGACTCCAGTTTGAGGCAAATAACATATCCAGCATAGATACTCTTCTCTTCCTGCTACATCTCATTTCTTGGGATGATTGTCAGATGATTCAGGATCACTTTGGCTCCTGCAAGAGTTGGGTCTTAGTGTCAGTATATGAGAATAATAGCAGGGTTAGGTGTCACACGACTGTCAGCTCAGCTGCTGGCCTCAGCCTCTAGCAAGGGTTAGAGTCTCCATAGCTCTTGAATCTTAAGCTCCCAAGGGTGAGATGTTGATGCAAAAAAGAGATCAGGACTCTGTATTCTCTCTCCCTCCCCCAGTAAGATGCAGGAAAGTCGGCCAAAGGTACTGAGTGCTCCAAATGGTAGAGAGTTGTTATTATTGATGATCTGACTGGCGTCACAGAGACTATCTGAGAATGTGCATTGTGCATAAATAGTTAATGCTCCGAGAATATAGTGTTCCATCCTAAAAGACCTCTAAGGGGCCTTGAGAAGAGACGGATGGTATAACCATCAAACCACCTGAGACAACAGTGCTCCCCTTCCCTCCCCACATGGAGAGAAATCTCTTAAACTATGTATCCTTAAGAGGGACAAAGATACCCTCTCCCAGCCTTCTCTAAGAGGGTAAAATTATTTCTTAGGGGATGAAAAACACTTACTCATTTTACATATGAAGCAAACATACATATAGAGTTTATTTGCATTACTAAAATTTCATTAGGGAGATGATTCAGAAAAAATTACCTAAAAATGCTCCTTAGATGAGTGATAATGGAAAAAAGGTTGAGAAACATGCCTCTAAGTTAAGGTTTTCGGGGCCCTGATGAAAGAACTCAGAGTCCTGGAAGGTAAATAAACAAAGTCTGCACTAACTCCTGACCTGCAGAGGTTCTTGCTGTGCAGAGAGGACTGCCAACACTATTAGAATGATAAGCATTAGGACTTTGTTACTGGGAGCTCCCTGCTCCAATCATCTATGTTAGAAATTTCAAAGCAAGTGTAGGGTGATTTCTGTAAAGTCCCATGTCCTCTCCCATTTTGCTTGCCCTCCCTCTTATTGGGAATTGGGGTGTTTGCTATTTCACAGTTAGAAGTATTCTAATGATACCTGATTCTCTTCAATTCAGTGTGCTGGAGAGAGAATGGTTCTTCCTACCTTCTTATCTTTTTTAGGTGAGAGTGGAGAAACAGCGAGGAGATTGGAAGGGAATAGCACATAGGTCTCTTGTTTTCCTTGAACTCTTTAATCAGGGCCACCGAGCTGGTAGCTTTAGGGCAGGAAAGGTGCTGGGGACACCAGAATTTGATGCCATAAGGATTGCCAACCTTATCCTAATATGCTTGGCCATAACTCAGGGCTAACTCAGGAGATACTGCCTCCCAGTTTTCCTGTGGGAACAAGAGCCAGCAGAGTCATACTGGTATTCTCAGATTTGTGAGAAACGGTTCCCCAAAGCCATGAAGCTTTAGCTCCTCTCGTTCATGCCTTGGGGTGGTGAACACAAACCTGGATTTGTTTTGCTCTTTTGTCTGTCTGTGGTTCTCTTTTCCTTCTTGCCCTTTTCTTCTTTTGTTTCTTTATCTTTGGTCTCTTCACTGGGACTTGGCCGGGCCTTGTACAAACCCCAACCATTCAACAGTGCTGGAGAGTAGATAGTATTTACCTCAATAATGGTAGTCTCCTTTCGATTCTTTTTAACCCTCAATTCAGATGACGGATCTAAGCCGACACCCACGATGGAGACCCAGCCGGTGTTCGATGGAGATGGTAAGCTCTTGCATTACTTCGGATGTTCATTCTCCCACTCATTTTCAGGTTTGGGAAAGGTCTTAACGCTGGATGTTTGTTTAAGTTTTATTATTATTATTTTCTTTTTTAATTTCAATTTTTCCCAGTGTAAGCTGGGTTGTTTTAACCTTTTGAAAAAATGCAAATCCTCCCAGGAACTGGTACACTCTCCACTTCTGGAAGGGCCCTCTGTTCTCTCAGGCTTCCTGCCTGTCTCCTGGTGTCCAACAATAACACAGCCTGGACAGACCCTTGGAGCTGCCAAGACCCAGGAATCACGGCTGAGAAAGATAGGCCGGCAGTGTCCCTTCAGTAAATTAATTGGCACTTACAAGTGTCCACTCTGTGCCTGGCACTGTGTGAGCCCCTCTGGGGGATGAAAAGGAGGTTTGGAGATGTAAGCCTTTGCTCTCAAGACAGCTGCAACTCTTAGAGTGCTTTATGTGTTAAATTACGTGGTCTCCGTTCTTATTGTCGTAGACATTTACGGAAGAAAGAGATCACCATGGTCTGGGAAAAGCTTTCGTGAAGAGCCAGGACTTGAGCTGGATCTTGAAAGTGGAGGGGAGGAGTCTGGGTGTTCCAGGCAAGGGGCTGGCATGGACAAGAGGGGAATGAGGTAGGGATGGGATACAGTGAGGAAAGTCGCAGGAAAGAGATTGGCCAGTGGGATTGATTTGTGCAGGTTGTAGGGACGTTGAGAGTTGAGGCAGGACATTTTGGAGAAGAGAAATTCTAGGTCAAGAGAAACTGTGGCTGGTGGCAAAAGAGAGGCTGGAAGTCTCTGGAGGCATAGAGAGAGGATAGGAGTGCGGGGTGCAGGAGGTTTAGGTTGGGGTGCTCAGGGCCTGTATTCTTCAGTGTACTGTACTGAGTACTCCATATTCCCCTGATGAGGACCTGGAAGTTTGGCAGAGTAAAGTCTCTAAAATATGACAATAAGGTTGGGATTTTAGTGCAATATGTAGCAAACTGAGCATCTCCTAGCTAAGTGTATCCAGTCCTGGATCATGAGACTGGACAGAGAGACAGAAGAATAAAAAGAAATCATGCCACGGGTTCATGCTGTGGCTATGGATGTCGCTAGCACAAGCTCAGTTCTGAGGAAGATTGAAATATACAATATCCTTTACAATCAGCTCACTTATGGGAAGGTTTGTATGCTCATGTCTGAAAGTTTAGATGTAGATGTCTCTGTGATCCACAGAGGTCCTGGATCATTGACAAGTCTGGGACCCTGGGGGTTCAGGTGAGGGACAGAGACTGTCTCATCTTGGGAGACCTCCCCAATACCCTCATTGAAGGTCACTCCACAGTATACTCAGGGTCACTTAGGATTCCCGCCTGTCCACTGAGTGACCAAATCCTGGAGAGCCTGGAGGCACCCTGGCACTCTCTGGATGGAGGAATCCAGCCTCTGCGCATGAGAAGCCATTAGAAAGGGGATTGAAGCACACATGAGATGCACTCCTTTCTTTCCCATCTGGAGCAGTCTCGGCTCAGCCGTTTCCTCTAGAATGGTCTCTGTGGTTTGTTTGGCGTTCATTTGTTGATTTATCCCCTTTAAATCTTCTCCCAGGGAAGCAGCTGAGAGGGACTTGGCTTGGCCCATGTTCCTTACCTCCTGGGATAATATTTTTATTCCTGGATGGAGTGCTCAGCACCTCTGCATTCTGACCACTCTGTTTCCCAGCACAGGATGCCCTGATCAGCTCTTATGAGCTGTTGGGGAGAGGAGCTTCCGTTGTGAGGAAGGAAGGGGAACTGGGAGGAGTGGATGTGGGAGAGAACTGAAGCCTCAATGCCTCAGACTTTGAAAAATGGCTATTAAGAAGTCTGAGGTTACACTTCCACTCACATGGTCTCTTTGCCCAGACTTTTTCTGTCTCTTTTTCCCCACCCCTAGAAATCACAGCTCCAACTCTATGGATTAAACACTTGGTGATCAAGGACTCCAAACTGAACAACACCAACATAAGAAATTCAGGTAAATACCTTCCTTGGATTATATACGTACCCAATTCATCCTTCTTTGCCCCATGGTTCTGTGACTTCTTATTGTGTGGATTTGGGAAAGTCATTTAATTTGCCTGGTTGTCAATTTCTATAGCTATAAAATGAAGAGATTGAATGTGTTAATCCCTTCCAACTTTAATTTTATTCAGTTATCATCTCAGGGATCATCTTTCTTAGGTCGTTGATCCTCTTAACAATTTTTTTGACTATATATTGTAATATTTTGATTAACTTTCCATATGCCATGCAGAAGAATTTGAAAGAAGAATGACTGGACATAAAGAAGTTGGACTTCAATCCTGGAGGGAGTCGATTCTGTGTGTTTTGAAGGCTCTAAATAGCTGCTTACAGTCATGTCTTCTCTGGTCTGATCTTCTCTGGTCTGATCTTTTAGGGGGTCTTGTGAGTGGTCAAGTTTGAGCACTGGCCAAACCCCTTGTAGAAAGATGATAATTTTTGAAGGGTGATCATATTTGTAGGATTATTTTGTAGACTCTGTTTAATATCAGTAAAGACCAGAGTCAGTAAAGTCCATTTACTATCAATAAAGACTAAATGTTCATCAACAGGAAAATGTGTTCACAAGCCAAATCTGTATCTCTATCAAGGAGGATCATCTTTTCAACCAAAGACTTCATTATGAGAAATACCACTCTGCATAATTTATGCCTGGTTGTTGAATTTAGCCATATCATCTTTTCCTTATAGGTGGCGAGACTATGGATAAAAGATATATGACTTTGAACCAGCAGGCAGAATTTTACATGACCATTAATTAATGAGTGTCCTGTCATTGGTCCCCTTTAAGTTGACCTGTTCACCAACTCTGTCCTAATGGTGGTAATGTGGCATTAGAATGCAAGGAATGATATAGACCAGGAGGTGAATTCAAATGCCATCAGTTGAGTTCCTCTGTGACTTGGGTTTGTCAGTGCCTTTTCATGTGTCTGTTCACTGATAAAAGTTGGAGATATGGGATGGTGGAGTGAAAGGAGACTGTGAACTCCCTTGAGTCAGTCTTTGACAGAAGAGTGCAGTGATTAAAGCACAGGCTTTTAAATTAGTGAAACCTGGGTTCACAGTCTAGCTCCAACATTTAGTGACCCCAGTCAAGTCATATAATTTCTTTGAGCCTCAATTCTCATTTGTAAAATGGGATCACAATCTCTCCCTCAAAGGACTATGGTTAAACGTTAACTAAGTTAGTGTCTATATGACACTCAATTGATGCCTGGCTAACTGATAAATTGTAAGTACATGTATTTACTATTATCATTATTATTGGTATGAAAAATGGGAATAGTAATGATGGTGCTTATTTTGAAAATTCTTCAATCAGAAAGAATTTATGATTGTCACCTTAAGCAAAGGCATCTATTAGGCTTCTTCTTAGGACCCCCTCCATTCCCCTTTCCCTGTTAGGCAAATATAAATCAAATAGAAGTGGCTTTGGTGCCTGTAGTGCCTGATGGTGGAAGTAACATTTGCAACTGGTCTCCTAGTCCCTGAGGCCCTGAAAGGTCTGCAAGGCCCCCATGAGTTAATTCTCATTCTGTGACCAAATGGAAGATATGAAGGTGAGCTCTCTGAGTTGTAATGTACAGCACTTTTTTTGCCTGAAACACTCACTTGGCATTTAACAGTTGCTTCTTTGAATTTCTTTTTCACTTACCCATTCATTTGATTGCTTTAGGGAATGATGGAGGAGAAAAGATCATCATTATTATCAGTAAAATTAGAATAGCACTGCCATAATAGCTACTTTGTGTCAGGTCCTGTGGAACTTTACATTTGTCATCTCACTTGAGCTTCACCATAACCCTTTGAGATAGCTATTGTTCTTGTCTTCATCTTGCAGATGAAGAGTCAGAGGCTGAGACAGAGGAAGTAACTTGTTCTGAGTCACAGCTAGGGAGTGGTTGGGCTGGAGAAAACTAGTTATCCTTGGAAATAGAATGTCTGTCTTCTTTGGTTGTATTCTCTGCATGTAGTAAAGTGGTGAGGTCGAAGTCAGTTGATAATGTTTGCTTCTGCTGAAGTTCTTCTGCTTTCATTCCTACTCTCCATTTGGATGAGAATAGGGTCATGTTGAGAAAAGGATTCTGGACAGGTCCATCCACCTTCCTTTTGCTGGGGTGGCCTGGCCACCTTTATTTTTCTCTGGCTGACCCCAGTTATATCTGTAAGGTTAGTGTATATGATAGGATAGTTGGGAGAGACCTAACAGTTCCCTGGGAGAAACTGAGATCAGGGATAACTGTTAGAGATGGATAACCTAGGAATCTTCTACTAAACTGGAACTTTTTCCATCGTGATCAACTGGTAATATTAACTGAATGCCTATCAATCTCTTTGATATAATTATATATTAAATATATGGTGCCACAAAGACCTGTAACAGGGGTTGTCAAATGGTCGCTTGCCTGTTTTTGAAAATAAAGTTGGGTTGGATCACAGCCACAGCCATATATTTGTGTAGTGTCTGTGAACATTTTCATCTAAATAGTAGAGTGGAATAGTTGTGACAGACCCTGTATGGCCTGCAAAGCCTAAAATATTTATCATCTGAACCTTTATAGAAAAGCTTTCTGGCTTCTGGCATATATGATTGAAATAGAAGCATTTGGATGGGAGTGTGTGTATGGGGATGTCTGGGGATGTCTTACTTAAGTTTTCTGGCCCATCTCATAGACCAGGCAGGAGGATGCTTCCTAACATGCCCAGGTAAGCCTGCATCAGCACAGGAGCTCTGAGGCAGCTCACAATGCTCTTCACCATCTCACACAAACCTTTTCCAAGCTTTAATGTCCAGGTCTGGTGCATGCTGCCACAAACGAGTTGCCAAAAAAGCATCTTGAGGTTTGGCTTTTTTAGGCATGGTTTATCTCCACTACACAACTGGTTCCACTGGGCAGCTGAAGTTTTGCATGTAGCGGAGATAAACCATGTAATGGCAAAATCATGGACTTTGGTGTCAGACAAACCTATAACCTGGTTTCCAATGCTAGCTTCCCACTGAGAGGCTTAGTGAGCTTGGGAAAGTTAATTAACTTCCCTGAGTCTTGATTTCCTTATATGTAAAACAAAGTTTTAGTGCCTTGCAGGATTTTTTTGTGAGTTCTCAAGAGCATCTGTGTAATGCCTGACACATAGTAGGTACACCATAAATGATTTTTTATACCCAACACAACACTAGTGACTCTTGGTGGAATATCTTTATGTCTTCTGCTAGCCACTTGTCACATGTTATCATATTTGGTTTAATGAGAAGTCAAATATACCTTAATGATAACTTATATCTGGATATTTGGCTCTAGTAGGGACTGGAGCCTCTTGGCCAAACACCTGAGAAAGTTTTTCATTGAGTTTGATGGACCATCCTGGGTTCAGGTGTGCTTCAACCTGCATTCCCCTGGGGAGGTTGCCATGGGACTCCGTGAAGCCCATTGGGTTGAGAGCTCTTCTTCTCAGCTGTCTCTCAGAGGCAAAAAGGCTATCCCAGTTTCTTTTACACCCCACACATCCTTTTTTCACATTCAGACCCTGTGACGCCAGGTTTGTTTTCTGGCCTGGGGACTGTTGACATTGGAAAGGTTCCACTGGGCAGCTGAAGTTTTGCAATAACATGACACATATGCCTGCAGACTCTCCTAGTCTCCTTCTCTGCTCCTGGAAGTTTTGGCTCTTGTTTTTAAGGCTTTGTCATGTGTTCACTATGGTCAGTGTTACCTTTTGAGTACTTGGCAGGTTCAGCATTGACAGATTTGCTTCTTTGCTCTTCTCTTCAGTTCTTGCCTCCATTGAACCTCTCCTCCATTGCATCTCCAGCGCACCAGGAATTCCTTTCGCATTCAGGAAGACAATGTACCTGGCCAGCTAATACCCTAGAACTCGAGAGCCGCATCTTCCCATAAATGAATGTTGGATGGAGCCTCTGTTCTGCTTTTATAAGGAAATATGAACGCTTGCTAAGTTTTTTTTTTTTTTTAAAATCAGGGGTTGGTTACCAAGGCATTTCTTAATATACCTAGTGTTTAAAATATTTTTTTTTTACCATCTACATGTTACAGATGATAAAGATATGAAATAAGCGACAAGAATTAGGTTTCATCTAATTCTTCATCTCATCTTCTCATGTTTCTAATTTGACTATGTGCAGGCACTTTCCTATGGCTCTGATTTACATCTTTGTTTCTATATGAAAAACTTCCACCCTTTCTCCTCTGGGCAAGTATAATCTCTCAGGAAATATGGTCATGCAGCTCTTCTCTGTGCAGCATAGTAATGTTCCCAAGGCCCACCACTCATTTCCTTCTGCCCTGGGGGCTTGACTCTGTGGCCTCAAGTGGAGTGGAGTGGTGTGACTTCCCTCTTGTTTTGTCATCTCTTTCTTTCCTTTGTCCCTGTTTTTTTCCAGTTAACTTCTTCCATGATCTGATCAAGGACTTCAAGGAGGCCCTAGACCCTGGCCCTGTGAGTTAAATCCAAAAGGGCCATGCCTTTCCTCCCCTGCCTCTTAGACCCACAGCGCTTCCTTTTCTACATCATTGAAGGGAGCAGCTCATGGTGACTCTGCTCCCTGGAGACACAGCCATCAGCACAGACACAAGGTGGAAATGCATTTCTTTTAGGTTTTACCATGAAAGTGACACCCTGGCCTCCTCATGCATGACTGTGACTGTGTTTGCTCAAGTCACCTGACCTGTCACAGGTAAGCTGTTCACAGTGTCAGAGTGCAGCTCTTCTAGGCCTGCTTCAGGCCCCTTGACCACGTCTTGGATTGCTCCTTCCTCACCCAGGAAGTTCCTGCTGGGATAGCTGCTATGACTGGGACTTGGGATCACTGAGGCATCTGCACCTCCTGGCTGGATTCCTCCACCCCCCAATCCAGCACTCTTGGCCCGCCTAGAAACCGCTGACTGATGTAATGACTTGAGGCCTGGAAAAATAAACAGCTCGCAGGGAAACCAG